AAACTAGAGAGCTAAGAGGATAGCCAGGGAATGCAGATAAAGCTAGTGAAATCAGTGAGCACCTTTACCATGAACATCACAGCAAACAGGTCTGCCCAGCTTTGAGTATTTGGAGCGAGGAAGCCAAGAATTTTCTGGGACTGCAGGTAAGTTCTGGGTCCCAATGCAAAGACAGAAGCAACCTCTGCAGGTAGGACAAAAGGCTTGGGTGTCTGACCTTGCCTGTCACAGGACACTGGAGCTCTGAGCTTATGCTTACATCCACAGCGATGCTGCGATGCAGTCGTGCTCTCAAAGCCAGGCTTTCCCCATATCCATGTTGCCAACACACATAACACACACTCAAATGCAACCTCAGCTTCAGCCTGGGGCAAGTCCTCCTCCATTCAGGCTTGCGCGCAAGCAGGAATGAAGGAGCTACGACCCAGAGGATATTCCAAGTTCAGTTCTCCCTAAACACTGTGCAAAAGTCCTAACTTCGAATGTACAAATAGGTTACTAGTTAGCAATGTTATAAAAAGCTCACAGTCATAGGACTCAGTATGAATAAACCTACTGAATTTTTAACTTTTCAGTTTAGCCAATGTGAAAATTAGACAGGCCTGGATATATTCTCTTTTGAACTTTGGGGCTTGGAGTCTTCTGTTGGGAGCATTTGATGGGAGTAAGGGGATTCAGTTATTGATAGTGAAGGGCACAAAGAAGTAATGCTACAGGAATGCTATGTTCCTTCATCACTTATTTCCCTTTCACAAAGAAAGAGTACGAAGAAATCCGGCCCAAATTTTTGGAATATTCAGAAAGGTGCCTTACTAAACAGAGCACAAGTAAAGCCAGCAAAGGAGTCTGGCAAATGCCTTTTATCGCACATATCTGCAATTTTTCATGTGAATTTCACCACGACTGGCATGACAGAAAGATTTGATTAGATACAAATTGCAGAGACAAGCACAATGTAAATTCTCATAAATTGAAAAAATTGGAGTGTTTCAAATTAATTACCTTTTCTCTACCGGACAGCTGTAAAAGGGTTAAGTTAAAGTGGAAGCTATATTGATCAAATCATGTCTATATCTGGCAGGGATTGATCTGGGCTGAATCACTAAACTATGCTGCTGACCAAAGGGATTAGAACTGAAAAATGTGGTATACAGCATAAAAATCCAATTTAATGGCTTCTGAGCTTACTTGAGCCTGGCTAATGTTCCATCTAATCAGAGTAGCTGAGGGCTAAGCTGGGTGAGGTTCATATCCATGCCATATAACTCTTTACATTTCATATCCAGATACGTAAACACTGCTCCGATAAAAATACCGCTTTACTTGCTGTTGTGTGAGAAACAGAACGAACTTCAAATAGGTCAAAATTTGCTATTTTGTCCAATTTTTAAAATGTATACATGTGCACATAATGCAAATGAAGAAGGGATTCAGTGTTTGAAGTGAAAAAAAAAGCAGAACTTGTAGCAGACAGACAGAAGCTGTGGTTCCAGGTCAGACAAGCTGCACCACGGCATTTCCTGGATCACAGCTAGTCCTTCAGTGAGGACACTGAACTGCAATAGAGCAGGTGTGAAGTCTGCGGCATGCCACTGATTGCCTGATGGTCCTGAGGTATTTTTCAACCTTCTTAGAGCTATTTCAACTTGAATTCCTCACCATATCCTCTCATTGCTTCTGCATTCTTATGCCATCTATCACAAAGGTGTCTGAAGCTTTGAACTGCCAACTTTTATAAACTGCTTTAAGCACACATACAAACACACTTTGTTTTGGCAGATTACTTTTATCTTTAAAATGAAACATAAATATAAACCTTTACAATAGACACTTTTGCTTTGTTGTGGTTGGGAGGACCCTGATACCTCTAACTCTTGCTCTAGCTATATCAAAGCATCCTAAGTGGAAAAGGCAGCAATTTTGTTACAAATTGGTACCTGTATTGTGAATGGGGTGAGTTTCTTTTTGTTGATTGTCCTCTCGTCAATGGTATCTGGCACTGAGAAGTTGATCATCTTACTGGAAATGAAAGAAAATACATCAGGAAATGCACTTCTTGCTACACTTGCACAAATGACTTGGAGTTTTTGTCACCACAATTTAACTAAAGAGCCAGAGAATTTCTGCAGTGGATAGAAAGTCAAGAAATGCCTATAGATAGGCAGTCTCTTATCTTTTACACATTCACATGCACACATGCAATATTTTAACAATTTTGGGGGTGTTATATACTGAATGTACTATAAACATGAGGCCAAGAATACAGCAAGGTGAAATGGTACGTGAAGTTCATTTTGCAGAAATTCCCATAAAAGCACTCACTATCTCATGCTGCTTTGTTTGAGCCCCAAGAACGCCTTGAGCAAAAATAAGAACAAGTAACTTTTAAGAGCAAATCTCATTGGCTCCATCTCATTGCAAGGGCCTGCAGGCAAAGAAAAACACTCACTTTTGAAAGCAGCTTTATTTTTTTTGAGAAAAAAGGAGCAACAAAACTACCATTATCAAGGTCCTGAATCTGCAGTTTCATGAGCTTAACTATAAAAGGCAGCAGCTTCAATTTAAGCAGGGTGTGAGATGCTGCAGACTTATGGTCTCCACATATAAGAGCTAGGGGTATTATTTACCAAAGTACAATGCCATCACCAACAGCCTGGAAGAGATCATCTGTTTCTGGATTCATTGGGACCACGTGTTTACAGTCAGGGTCCTTCTCAAGGGCTTTGTTAATCCAGTTGACGAACGCATACTTTTCCTCCTCTGTGAATACAACATCAAATCCGTTAGTTTGCTGTGTAGTGCCTCTATCGCTGTTTTACTTATCCAGACAGAACTCCTGAGGAAAAAAGAGTCTCCTAAACAGGCCTGTGACCAAACAATGAACCTCTGCAGTGGAAAAAGGCTCTGAGGAGATCGGCAGAAGTTACCGCTCAGGAAGCCCAAAGGAGACTGCATGGAGTCACTGAGCTCAGCTGTTCATCACAAGCGGAATATCTAAGGGAACCTGGTCAGACTGTACCGGACTCTGACAGAGGGCAGTGGGTAGATGTTCCCTGTAGTCCTAAAGGCTGTACTGTAGCTACGCTGTGCCAGCTGCAGCCCGGAGCACCCCAGTAACTCAGAGAAGATGTCCTCTCTGCTTCTGGTAGGTGGGGATGCAATGGTCTCTGCTGATCCTTCCCAAAAGCTTAGGAACTGTTTGCTTACAGGTGCTCTTACAGGAAAACTGCCAGGGAACTGGCAATCTCTTCCAGGAAGCGGGTCAGGAGCAGTGGGAGACCGTGTGTTGCCGTTCAGCGTGGAGAGCTGTGCTGGCAGAATGTCCTCAGCAGGGCTGCCCTGCTCCTCTGCTAAGCTGGGGAAAGGTTCCTGCAGCAGACACAGCTCTGCCATCCCAAGAAAACAACACGTGCTGGTTTTGACAAAGATGCTGCTCTGAGGTTTTGGCATCTTCACCAATCCTTGACATAAATTGGCCTTGCCTGAGTAACTACTACTGCTACTGAAGCTCATAAAGATCTGAGCATCTAGCTTTGCTCCAAGATCAGGTATGTATCAGGTACTCTGTAAGAGAATATTTGCTCTGGGTGATGCCAGTATAAGACAGCTGTGCCTACCTGAATACGAGTGCTGTGTGCCAGCGCTGGACTGCTCCGAGGTCCCACCAATAGCACAGATCCCTTCCTTCTTATTGATTTGCTTTCGGAACGATTTAGCAACATCGTCGCTCTTCAGGCTTTGGAAAATCTTTCAAACACACAGGACAATTTTAAAATATTAGACAATTAAATGAAGCTAAAGCTGTGAGCATTTGTACCACGAGACCCCTCTCTGCTTTATATGTAATTTTTCTGCATATAATCATGCACCAACACATCTATGTGGCTTAGTAAAGCAGAATCATACACAGTTTTTATGTTTTTATGTTTTCAGAGCAGGGAAGAAAGATCAGTAACAGAAACATGCATGGTGTGAAACCAGAAAACCAAGGTGCAAGGGAAGAGGGCCTCTGAAAGTTTCAGCCTGGAAAAAGAGCATGGTCAAATCTATTTCTCCATCCCAAGGGAAATTCTACTATTTCAATTGCTTCTGTCCCACTTCTGAACAAAAAATCTATTTCTCCATCCCAAGGGAAATTCTGCTATTTCATCAACTGCTTCTGTCCCACTTCTGAACAAAAAGGGAACTAAGCTTTTTAATAGAAGGAATCTTTCACGAAGTTTTCGTTTTCAATCTGTACAAATATGTAGAGTTAAAGTGAAGAATTTGAACAGAATTAAATTTAAATCTTTCGATTCTCTATGTGGATAATGGGAAGGTGTTGTGGAAAACTAAATGTTTACTCAAGAAAAGCGAATTTTGTGGAAATGATGTTGTCAGTCAAAGCAACATTTTGAATTGAAAATTCCCAACTTA